TTTGTATGTTACTTCGGTCTCGCGACTTAGTTTTGCGTAGAGTCGGATTTGTATGTTACTTCGGTTTCGCGACTTAGTTGTGCGAGGATTCGAATTTGAAAGTTATGTTACTTCGATCTCATGATTTTGATTTGTCGTGCAGATTCGGATTTGAAATTACGTCATTTTTGTTTTGAACTATGATTTGATTGTGTACTAGTTACGTTGCCATTTGACATTTTTTTTTTATGATTAATTTTGCTTTTCCCATTTTATTTTTCTTTATTTCTTCGGGAAATTTATTACAGCTATGATGTGGAATCGAATGAATTTTAACCAATGGTTGCGACTGTCGGACACAATTTTGGTATGGAGAAGATTGGATCGTGATCGCCAACGAGTTCTAGTTGAAGAACTGGAGTCATTGATGGTCTCGATTATTTTCGAAGATGGTTGGCACCCTAGAAACTCAATTAGGTTTGAGGTAGAGGTGATTCCAGAGAGGGTCACAATTCTTTCACCAGTATCATTATCGGCATTTCCGATGCCATGGTACTCTTGCGAAAAATGCAAGACTCCAGCCTCTATTGAATTGGTCAAGGGAGAAATATATATTCCCAGTGATAGCCATGTGGAAGGACCACCGAAAGTTTGGTTGCGTACCATCGGAACTCAGACGGATGGATCTGATTCATCTTATACTTCTTGTCCTTTGATTTCTCGTCGCAAGGCGTTCGAAAATTCTTTGGACTGGGTACACAAATTGGTGGAGTCTCCCTCATTATTTGGAGTTGTATTTGACATTGATGGCTGCTTTAATTGCCACAACCCATATCACTCAGTTAACAGATGTCCATTACCTCATGGAACGGTTTGTTGGGGTTGTGGAACCCAGGGGGTTATTGGAGAAGATTGCCCTTTTTGCGATCCTCACAAGTTCTCGCTTGAACCTCCTCAATGGTACCTTAGCCGATTGCAACCTCGTCGTGCCAAATATTATAAAAAAAAATCGTAATAATTAAATTATGGTGAATTATCTGGTTTGACGTTGTTAACCGAGTAATTGGGTTACGTAACCCCTTGAAAATAAATGGTTACCGGTGATATATGATTGTTCTGATTTTGTGATTGTGTCTAACCTTTTTCGGGAATCCCTCTGTTTGATGATTTTGATTCTGATTGGTTAGCAATGAACCTCGCTGATTGAAGTGGTTGGACTTCGTCTGGTGGAATAAATTTTCATTGGTTTTGGTTGCCCTTAAAGAATTGGCCATCGCGTTCGGTCTGGGGAGGGTCAGTTGTAACGTGGTATTTTACCCGTTACTATTTCTCGTCCGTTTCGCGATTTTTGAGACTTCCACCAGACGGGAAGTCACCTTCAATGGCGAGAGTTTTGAGAAGAGAGGAGATCATTATTTTGATTTATTTTGTTTTAATTTTGAATTAAATTACGCGCCACCACGTGATTGCTGAGGATGTCATCGGGGATCCTGGGGAAGCCGGAAGATGTCATCAGCCTCTATTATAATTTGGATGATAAATGGGCGTTCGATTTGGCCGACGATGGAGCCACGAATCGGGAATCCTTTACCCGGAAGTGACGCAGTTTTGTCGTGCACGTGGCTGTTGGAGATTATTAAATATTTATTTGATAATATTGAGAGAGAATTGATTCTCTCAGGGCAACGGAGGACGCAGGGTGTAT